GAAATTCACTTTAGTGGTAATTTGCGTTCATCACCATGTTATTGTGTCAAGCGGACAATAACTCCCTCCACAGCTGGTGGCTTTATTAGAAACCTTCCTAAATTATCAGCCGCTCTCATCTGTCCATCTAATCCTACTGAGCTAGATGCTATGACCAAGCTCTTAGAGAATAGTTTTCGATCTACTCTAGATAGTGTGGCCCCATTAAAAAGTAAAATAGTAAGGCAGAAAAAACTCGCCCCCTGGTATAATGACAACACTCGGGCTTTAAAACAGAACGCCAGACAACTTGAGCGTAAATGGCGCCTGACTAAGCTAGAAGTGTTCCAGTCCGCCTGGAAGGAGAGCCTTACAGACTATAGACAAGCACTTGCTACAGCACGCTCAGCTTATCTCTCCTCTCTCATAGAAAACAATAAGAATAATCCTAGGTTACTTTTCAGCACAATCTCTAAACTAACAGAGAACAAAACAGCTAGTGAACCCCAGATGCCATCAGCCTATAGCAGCAACGATTTTATGAATTTCTTTAGTGATAAAATTGAAAAAATTAGGCAGAAAATTCAGAATACGCAATTAAACTCTAGAAACCTGCTTCCCCATAATGCCAGCCTCAACCTTGAAAATATTATAATTCCTGCAGAGAGGCTGGAATCGTTTACCTTACTCCAAGAAAATGAACTATTTAAAATAGTCTCTTCCGCGAAATCATCTACCTGTATGCTAGATCCGATTCCTACAGGTTTACTCAAGGAAATTCTGCCAGAAATAACCAAGCCTATTCTGTCAATAATAAACTGCTCTCTTAGCCTTCGGTACATCCCAAAATCTCTTAAACTAGCAGTAATTAGACCGCTGATTAAGAAAGCTAACCTCGATCCATGCGAACTTTCAAATTATAGACCCATCTCGAATCTCCCCTTTATATCTAAGATCTTGGAAAAAGTTGTAGCAAAACAGTTAAGCTCCTTTTTACATAGGAATCAAATACATGAAAAATTCCAATCTGGTTTTAGGCCACATCATAGTACAGAAACAGCACTAGTAAAAATTGTAAATGATCTATTATTATTTTCTGACCAAGATCATGTGTCCTTGTTAGTCCTCCTCGATCTTAGTGCGGCATTTGACACAATAGACCACACTATCTTACTAGACAGACTAGAAAACCTTGTAGGGGTAACAGGAACAGCTCTTTCCTGGTTCCGGTCCTACCTCACTGATCGGTATCAGTTTGTTAATATAAACGGTGAATCATCTGTTCTCACAAAAGTAAAATATGGTGTTCCACAAGGCTCTGTTTTAGGACCTGTATTATTCACTTTATATATGCTACCACTGGGCACCATTATCAGTAGACACGGCATAAACTTCCACTGCTATGCCGATGACACTCAGTTATATTTAGCAAGCGACCCAGATGATAGAATTAAACTTAGCAAGATTGAAGACTGTATAAAAGACATAAAGGACTGGATGTCGAGTAACTTTCTCCTTCTAAACTCAGATAAAACAGAGGTTCTGCTTCTTGGTCCAAAAGCAGCTAGAAACAAACTGTCTAATTTAACACTTAAACTTAACAATTTCTCAGTTGCATCAAGCTCATATGTAAAAAACCTTGGTGTCATTATAGACCCTGATCTGTCCTTCGACACACATAACTAATATTACTAGAACAGCCTTCCTGCATCTTCGCAATATTGCTAAATTGAGAAATGCATTATCTCTACAGGATGCAGAAAAGTTAGTTCATGCATTTATTACTTCAAGGCTAGATTACTGTAATGCCCTGCTGGCTGGATGTCCCAGCAAAAGCATTAACAAGCTTCAGCTAGTCCAGAATGCTGCAGCCAGAGTTCTTACTAGAACCAGAAAGTTTGACCATATCAGCCCAGTTTTATCAGCCTTACACTGGTTGCCAGTAAAATTTCGGATTGATTATAAAATTCTCTTGCTGACTTATAAAGCACTAAACGGACTCGCCCCGCTGTACCTGAGTGAACTTCTCTCTCACTATGAACCATCCCGCCTACTTAGATCACAAGGTGCTGGCTTACTATTAGTACCCAGAATTAATAAAGTTACGTCAGGGGGGAGAGCTTTCTCATACAAAGCCCCCCAGCTTTGGAATAGTCTTCCTGTTAATGTTCAGGACTCAGACACAGCCTCAGTCTTTAAGTCTAGGCTAAAAACCTACTTGTATATTCAAGCCTTTGGTAATTAGTTTTCCCTGTCAGTTCTATACCTGCCAGAGTCTCTGCTAACACTGTAATTTGTGATCGGTCACCCATTACAGAACTAACTCTGTGTGTTTTCCTCTCTGTGTGTTTTCCTTTCTTTTCTTCGCCGAGTTGAACAGCTGCCCATCCTGTGCGTTCTGATGCTGCTGCCTTTTCTGCCTCGATCGGGTGCCACTGCTCGCCAGCCCTCTGGACCGGGTTACCAACATTGAGCCTCCTGCTGTACAACGCCGTGCAAACCTCACCCTCACAACCTGACCCCACTGATACTACTGCTGTTGCTGCATGAACTATTCAAAATTATTCACTTGAACCAATCAATCATTCAAACTAATTCAAATTAATCAATCACCCATTGACTGTGTTTTTCCTCTCTTTCTTTTGCCGAGTTGAACAGCTGCCCCATCCTGCTGCTGATGCTGCTGCCTCTGCTGCCTTGATCGGGTGCCACTGCTCACCGTGCAAACCTCACCCTCACAACCTGACCCCACTGATGCTGCTGCTTCTGCTGCATGAACTGAACTATTCAAATTAATTGTTTCCTTCACGTTTTACCCTGTTTTTTGTACTATAATACTTTATACTAACAATGTTTACTATCCGGTGTCGACCAGAGGAGGATGGGTTCCCCTTCTGAGTCCTGGTTCCTCTCAAGGTTTCTTCCTGTTTCTCTTAGGGAGTTTTTCCTTGCCACTGTCGCCACTGGCTTGCTCATGGGGGCTCGGACCCGGACTTCTTTTTGTAATGCTCATTTCCTTGTAAAGCTGCTTTGTGACAACACCTGTTGTAAAAAGCGCTATATAAATAAACTTTACTTACTACTTACTTACATAGTGGCAACTCATACTTTCATTTTGAGTGTAAACAGATTACAAAGAGATCTGACTCAAACACAGAGAGGCTTACGGAGTTAAAGGGAAGCACCCACCCACAAACCCACACACACACACACACACAGAAAATTAAAAGTACAGTGAGAGCTGTATGGTACAGAGAGAATGTTATGTCTTTCTCAGGGCTCAAGGCCTTATAATCAGGCCTGTTGGAGCCTTTGTAAGACACACACACACATACATACTTTCCCTTACGAACATAAACATGTTCAGTTAGAATAAAACACACACATTTATGCACTACTCAAAGCCTACAATCACTGAAGTAATGACTTTAATATTTTCTTATTTTACTCAAGAATGATTTTCACAATGCAAACTGAAAGAATCTAAATGAAATTATGACTTTTTAAACACAGCACATTCTGCAAGTCAGTCAAAGTTTTTTTATATAGCACTTTTTACAACAGATGTCACAAAGCAGCTTTACAGAAAAATCTGGGTCTAAAGCCCCCATGAGCGTCACCAGTGGCAACAGTGGCAAGGAAAAACTCCCTAAGAGCAAAAGGAAGAAACCTTGAGAGGAACCAAGACTCAGAAGGGGAACCCGTCCTCCTCTGGTCGACACCGGATAGCAAACAGTGTTAGTATAAAATATTAAAATACAAAATGGGGAAAAACAGGTGGAGCAACGGTTAATTAGAGAGTTTGAGTCTGTGCAGAAGCAGCAGCATCAGGAGGGTCAGTTCATGCAGGTGAGGTTTGCACAGCGTTGTACAGCATGAAGTTCAATGGTGGTCGAACCGGTCCAGAAGGCTGGTGAGCAGTGGGCACCCGATAAAGACAGAAGAAGCAACAGCATCAGACACACAGGATGGGCAGCTGTTCAGCTCGGCAAAGAAAAGGAAAACACACAGAGATTCAGTTCTGTAAAGAGTGACTGATCACAGATTACAGTATTAACAGAGAGCAGCAGAGACTCCGGCAGGTCTAGTTATTACAGCCTAACTACAAAGGAGAGACAGAAAGGTAACAGAGACATGAGGCTCCCTGAGACGTCAGCGCCCCTCCACTCCACTGTCAACAAACCTGAGTGAGTGTGTTAGAGCAGCAGGACAACAGCACCAACACTCCCAGTATTTGCATGGAAGTTCTACCCCCTGATGTAGCTTTATTAATTCTAGATACTAATAGTAAGCAGCACCTTGTGATCTAAGTAGGGTGACGGTTCATCTCATCATAATGTCATTCTCAAAATTCCACAGGTGTCTCATTTATTATAAGACCTATCAGAGTGCATATTATCAGCGTCACATTATATATTGCCTATATATAGATGTAGTATATCTCGAGACAGGAAGCACAATAAAGGGTGCAGAACATCTGTCACAGAACTGAATGCTGTGTAAAGTTAAATGAGAATCTACAAAGCGCACACGGAAACAAAGGAAGGCAAAAGGGAAAAAAATAAATAAGAGTCATATAAAATGGAAATGGAAAATGGAAACAGAAATAAACCCCTTTTTAGTCAACTACCAAACTTTTTTTGTTTTCTTCGTACACACATATTTTCTTACTAAGTAACTAATTAACTAAATAAATATATAAATAAACACACACATATCCAGGCTACTCACCTCTTTCTGACTTGCCTAAGGCAGCGTGGAACTCTCTCACTCTAGATCACTCTGAACAGATTAGACAGTTGAATTAGTCTTTATTATATCGTTTATATCGACAGTCTAACCGTTTATGAGAAATAGTATTTTATTTCCTTAAATATTTTACACAAACACACACAGTTCAACATATTGGAAAAAAAAATTGAACATAAAAAACTACCCATTACGTGTAAATGTTAAGTTGTGGTGAAAGGGAAAAAAAAACAGGATGTGCCCCACCCCCACGCTTCTCTGTGACACTGCATTCTGCATGGCCTTCAGCAGTCGTTAATGCAGCGAGGGCAATGCTCAAGAGGTTTTTCAGACTACGAAGATGGCTGGCTGGCCACCTTCAGGAGCTGTTTGTGGGAACACTCATTATCTGCCTGGTCTGGTTAAGCCAGATCCAGATCCAGCTTAATCTTGATTCAGAGGAGATGTGTGCCTGTATCCAGTGTATGGCAGGAAGTAAAGAGGATCCCTGGTTTGCAGAGCGCTACAAGCACATGGTGCCAAAACTTCTGTCTAGGCAGAACAGCGAGCTCCGTCCAAAAACCAGGAAATGGTGGCAGGTAAGGGAAAGAACATCAGCACTGACCTGTTAGTTGTTCTTGTTTAGCTTTGAAAATGGCTGGAAAGGTAAAACTGATGTTGGTTTGAGATCCTGTGTCTTGCCTGTTTCTCTGCATCACTGTATATTGCACTATACACTCCATAGCAGATCTTATCAGATAAACTGATACGCAGTATGCATTATGTGTGTTAAAGGTCTAAGATTTACCTAAGGAATGACAAGAGTACCTTAGATTTGAAATAAGCCTTGAAAATCCACCATTTCTGTAAGAAAAATGAGATTCCTGTCCAGTAGTTTATATATGTCCTTGACAAGTAGTATATATGTATATCATATTTAAATATAGAAAACTGTTATAAGTGTTATATATAGAAAACTGATTTAAGTGTACCCCTTTGAAAGACTTACAGGACAACAAAAACCTAATGATGGAAAAGTATTTCTTTTAACTTTCTGCTATATATATATATATATATATATATATATATATATATATATATATATACATATAAAATTTAATGATTTTCTCTATTAAATTTATTGTTTTAATCATGTTTTAATTATGTTTTAACATTGTTTTTAATTAAACACCATTTTTACTTCACTTTTTTTAAAAAACTCTGACTCTGAATTTTCCCATTTGTAAAGCACTTTGAATTGCCTAGCCTTGCCTATATATACATGTAGTATATCTCGAGACAGGAAGCACAATAAAGGGTGCAGAGCAATAACGTCTGCCACAGAACTGAATGCTGTGTAAAGTTAAATGAGAATCTACAAAGCACACACTGAAACAAAGGAAGGCCCTTTTTAGTCAACTACCAAACTTTTTTTGTTTTCTTAGTACACACATATTTTCTTACTAAGTAACTAATTAACTAAATAAATATATAAATAAACACACACATATCCCGGCTACTCACCTCTTTCTGACTTGCCTAAGGCAGTGTGGAACTCTCTCACTCTAGATCACTCTGAACAGATTAGACAGTTAAATTAGCTTCTTTATTATATCGTTTATATCGACAGTCTAACCGTTTATGAGAAATAGTATTTTATTTCCTTAAATATTTTACACAAACACACACAGTTCAACATATTGGAAAAAAAATTAACATAAAAAAACTCACACTGTATGTTTTTATTTCCCCCATTGGTTAAATTCAGCAAATAAACAGTAATTGAGCATCAGAATGTGCAGAACTGTGTTCTCTGTACAGGATGTGTTAACGAGGGTTGGGATAGCTACTGAAAAATTAGTAGTTAGCTATTTTGTAACCACTTTCCTAAAATTTGTAGCTAGCTGCAATTTAGCTACTTTTCAAGAAAGAGTAGTGGCTACTTTTTAGCTACTTTTTTAAAAAGTAGTGCACTACTTTTTAGCTACTTTAAGAGCGCGATTGTCAGAATGTTTGTGAATCTCCATCTGACACACCAAACAAGCCCAACTGACAGTGTGAACAAGGCACTGCATTTAATCACTGGCCAGGAAGAAACATACAGTTGAAAAGCTGCAAATATACAAAAAGGTCACCTAAAAGTAAGTTTAAGTGTAACCAACAATCAAACGTACACAACCAAAGGTGTGATATCCAACAAAGATTTAGACTAAAGGCAAAGTCAATCATTCCAGGTTTTTCCTAACAAAAATCAACAAAAATAAATGAATACAAACCAGAGAATTTTGTGCAAAGCACTGTCAGCTGTTGAAATAAAACTGCTCCAATTTAAACATTTCAGCAAGATACACCAATCAGGCATAACATTCTGACCACCTCCTTGTTTCAACACTCATTGTCCATTTTATCGCTCCACTTACTATATAGGTGCACTTTGTAGTTCTACAGTTACAGACTGTAGTCCATCTGTTTCTCTGCATACTTTATTACCCTGTTCTTCAGTGGTCAGGGCCCCCATGGACCCTCATAGAGCAGATACTATTTGGATGGTGGATCATACTCAGCACTGCAGTAACACTGATGTGGTGGTGATGTGTTAGTGTGTGTTGCTGGAGCTTTTAAACACCTCAGTGTCACTGCTGGACTGAGAATAGTCCACCAACCAAAAATATCCAGCCAACAGCGTCCTGTGGGCAGTGTCCTGTGACCACTGATGAAGGACTAAAGGATGACCAACACAAACTGTGCAGCAGCAGATGAACTATCATCTCTGACTTTACATCTACAAGGTGGACTGACAAGTTAGGGGTGTCTATTAGAGTGGACAGTGAGTGGACACAGTGTTTAAAAACTCCAGCTGCACTGCTATGTCTGATCCACTCAGACCAGCACAACACACACTAACACACCACCACCATGTCGGTGTTACTGCAGTGCTGAGAATGATCCACCACTCAAATAGTGGACCCTCACTGCTCTGTGAGGGTCCATGGGGGTCCTGACCACTGAAGAACAGGGTAAAAGGGGGCTAACAAAGTATGCAGAGAAACAGATGGACTACAGTCTGTAATTGTAGAACTACAAAGTGCACCTATATAGTAAGTGGAGCTGATAAAATGGACAATGAGCGTAGAAACAAGAAGGTGGTCATAATGTTATGCCTGATCAGTGTATGTACAGACATGACATTTAGAGTCTTTATTAAACTTCAGCAACACTTTAGCCTCAAACTTTAGCCTTCTCATCAGGTACCCTGGCTCTTTTTGGGGTGAGAATCAGGCCTGAATAATCTCTCCACTGTTGCTGTTGTGGCTCCACAGCAGAACTAAATCATCATCATCATCGTTAACCGCTTAGTCCAGATAGGGTCGCGGTAGCAGTTGGGAGAGCAGAGAATCCCAGAAGCTGTCCCCCGCAACTTCCTCCAGTTCATTCCCGGGGACCCCAAGCCGCTCCCAGGCCAACTTGGAGATATAATCCCTCCAGCGGGTCCTAGGACGACCCCGGGGTCTTATTCCGGTAGGCCGTGCCTGGTACACCCCCACCGGGAGGCGTCCAGGGGGCATCCGGATCAGATGCCCGAACCACCTCAGCTGGCTCCTCTCAATGCGGAGGAGTAGCAGCTCTACTCCGAGCTCCTCCCAGATGGCCGAGCTCCTCCCCCTATCAAATAGAGTGTAGCCCGCCACCCTGCGAAGAAAGCTCATTTCTGCCGCTTGTATTCACGATCTCATTCTTTCGGTCATTACCCACAGCTCATGACCATAGGTGAGGGTCGGGATGTAGACCGATCGGTAAACAGAGAGCTCTCTTCACCACTACAGTCCGGTACAGTGACCGCATTACTGCTGCTGCTTGTCCCAGCCTGCGGTCGATCTCACGATCCTTCTTCCCATCACTCGTGAACAAGACACCGAGATACTTAAACTCCTCCACCTGGGGCAAGTCCTTTCCCCTTACCTGGAGTGGGCATACCATCCTTTTCCGGGCTAAGACCATGGACTCAGACTTGGAGGTGCTGATCCACATACCAACCGCTTCACACTCAGCTGCAAACCGCTCCAGTGCGCGCTGGAGGCATCCATGTGATCCAGCCAAAAGAACAACATCATCTGCAAATAGCAGAGATGCCACCCTCCGGCCTCCACACATAATGCCCTCCTGACCCCGGCTACGCCTTGACACCCTGTCCATGAATATCACAAACAGGAGTGGAGACAGGGCACAACCCTGGCGGAGTCCAACGCTAACACTGAAAGAGTTCGACTTAATGCCGAGTATATGAACACAGCTCTCACTCCGGGTGTACAGAGATTGAATGGCCTGGAGTAGTAACCCCGGCACCCCATACTCCCGGAGGACCTCCCACAAGATATCTCGGGGAACACAGTCGTAAGCCTTCTCCAAATCCACAAAACACATGTAGACTGTGTTGGCAAACTCCCATGCCCCCTCAACAATCCGTGAGAGGGTGAAAAGCTGGTCCATTGTTCCATGGCCAGGACGGAATCTGCATTGTTCCTCCTCAATCTGAGGTTCAACTATCGGTCGAAGTCTCCTTTCCAGCACCTTGGCATAGACTTTCCCAGGGAGGCTGAGCAGTGTGATACCCCGATAGTTGGCACACACCCTCCGGTCCCCTTTCTTGAAAATAGGGACCACCACCCCGGTCTGCCAGTCCAAGGGTACTGTTCCCGAGGTCCATGCACTATTGCAGAGGAGTGTCAGCCACGACAGCCCCACAATATCCAGAGCCTTAAGCATCTCCGGATGAATCTCATCCACCCCCGGGGCCTTGCCACTGAAGAGCTTGCCAACTACCTCAGTAACCTCCACCAGGGAAATGGAGCTTGACACGCCAGATGTCTCTGGCCCTGACTCCCGTGAGGGAGGCATGTCTCCCGGATTAAGGAGTTCCTCAAAGTGCTCTTTCCACCGACCGACAATATCCTCATTTGAAGTCAGAGTTTCTCCACCCCTGCTGAATACAGCCTGGGCGCAGCCACCCCGACCGCTCCTGAGTCGCCGGACAGTTGTCCAGAACCTCCTCGAGGCCGACCGAAAGTCTTTTTCCATGGCCTCACCAAACTCCTCCCACGCCCTGGATTTTGCTTCTGCCACCGTTGCAGCTGCCACCTTTTTTGCCTGTCAGTATCTATCTGCTGAATCGGGAGTCCTTCGGGCCATCCAGTCCCTAAAGGCCTCTTTCTTAAGCTTGACGGCCTCCCTCACCACCGGTGTCCACCAGGGGGTTCTTGGGTTACCGCCATGACAGGCACCAACAAGCCTGTCTGTAAGTCTGTGCTTTTGTTTATATTATACTATCAGCACATACTGAGATATACAGCCAAGATGGTAAAACGGACATAAAATGTTGTGGCTCACAAGGTGGTTTGATTTTTGTTGAAAGGACAAAATGGCTGCGACCCCTAAGCTAAGCTACAGAAAATTGTAGCTAACGCTACTCAGCTACTCCCCCATCCCTGGTGTTAACTTATCTACACTTAGAAAATCAACAAAAATATGCCATTGGACCAGGGGCACTTCTGCGTGACTGTATATGTAACCATCTAAAAAACTAATCACCATTATACCTGTT